TGACTTACTGCAATAATATTGCGACTAATAAAAACATCGTTAGAAACGTGGGAGAATGAATGCATCTCTATGTTTGTGTATATGTGTGTGTTTATACGTGTATGTGTGTGTGTGACGCGAGCGTAACTATATCGCATGACGAGAGACCACGAGTTGATTATCACGTTGATCTGATGTTACAATGCGCAAGAAATTCAATCGATGAGATGGAGATCATTGTGATCAGTCGAAGTATCGGTTACTCGATACTCCGTCTAGATTTTGCTTCAAGTTTCGCAACACGTGCACAGTATACGAGCGACAAAGAACAATCTGCCATTGCTACTTTACTACTTTGTAATCGTCCCTTCAATATCACGATGAATTCTGGCTTTGCTGCTCGCCGAATTAATATTTACGATAGAGTAGTATCATCATTTTCCGACTTTTCTCTGTGTCTCGATGGTTAGAATGAACTTATTTCGCGAATGGTTCCAGCCATTTGATCTTTATATCCACTGCTCTCAGTGTTCCTTGCATTTTTATCATCTCGACAACAGTAAATATTATAACGTGCAAAAGTCTCTTTTACATGGCTCATTTCACGATTTGATGCCCGAAAATAAGACGTCTTTTCATGTCTCATCGTCGATTCCGTAGAACGTGTTCGCGGTTCTCGAGTGATTTATTTAACGCGTGCGGTTGCATATATGTGGTATGAGTATGTGTATGTGTGTGCATATATGTTTCTTTTCTTTCAGTATATTTTTATGGAGCCCGTATACGTTGCTTCGCGCATATCGCGACGTACACGTTAAACGTACGTATAATATATATATATTTGTATATACATATATCTCGATATACCTATAGTTGTCTAGCACAGCTGTAAAGACTCTTACTCGCTAAGAGACAAAAATTGATGATTCTTAAACATACGTATTATTCATTTTTTTCATATAATATATAGATATCTATTTATATATATATTTTTATATATATATATTTCTTCATCTATTCATTTATTTTATATATCGAATTATTTAAACGAACTTTGACCGACGAGAAAATCGTTCCCTCACGTCCTATAGCCACGTCAAGGCCGCGTGAAAGGGTTCCGATGAACAACCGATATAATATTACTATGATTAGTACGTAATAAAATTTTTCCTCTCCTTCCGTCTAATCGTCTCCGGACATTCATCATATGACACAATAACCTATCACTAGGGCTATTCGTTCGGTCGTCTACCCGATTTGTTCGAAGACTCTACCTCGACGCGATCTACCTTGGATCCACCTTTTCATTATCGAGATTGTTTCCGGTGTACATTTTTTTCAATCTACTACGCATTAAACACTGATAGTGCATATTGCGATTTTTCCCGAGAAATTCTATCTCGAATTTCTATCTCAAGACTGACATTGATTGATCTTGGTCAGGTCTCTAGTCTTGCTCGATTCAAGATCAAGGTCAACTGGCGCCGAAGAGGAGTCCTCGAGACCTTTTGCAACCCCGAAGCTCAAGAACAGAACCTCGCCTTCATCCCTTTCCTTCCTACTCGCTTATTCCCATCATTTCTTTGGACGCCGGGTGAACGACCGACGGAAACGAAAGAATGTCTTAACTACGAGAAAACCGTCGTTTATATAAACTTACTATTTATCGATGATTCAAACCTTTTTCTTTTCAATTAATGACTATACACTAAACTCTATTCATAATTCAACCATTCATAACCTTTCTATTCCGTCACGGAGACTCAACCCCCTTCCCCATCTCTTTCTCATCCCCCCCGCCCCATGCAAACGTGCCACGAACGCGCTATTCGGATTATATAAAATTCACAAACGCGGGATATATCGATTACTCGGTACACCTTGAACCGCGAGGAAGAGGGCATCTTGGTCAACGATATCTCCAAGCTCGCGCGGTGGAGTCAAGATATCGTTGACAAGGTCGCCGCCACCCTCGTCAGTCCCCTAGTCGTCCATATAAAAACACTGATATACAAAACGTTCACTAGATCGACGTTAAACATCGGCGAATAGGGCGCGACGAGAATAGAATAAATTCATGTGTAAAGATACACGAATGTTTCAACGTTCCGCTGACACGCGAAATGCTCTACTGCTTAGCCTGAGCGCTGAGAATTTTTTTTTTTTAAGTATGATAGCGAAATTTCTCAATAGCACAATTCGATAAGATGCATACCGGTTGTCGACACAATCTTTTAATCGTTTCACATACAAGGGATTTCTGAAAGATTTGACATTCGAAATCACTGGTATATTCATATGAGGTTCCAGACTAACTTGCTGGCGCTAGAAGCGTTTATGGAACACTGTCCATATATTGGATATGACTAGGATTTTCTGGGTATTCAAGATTTATAAACTTTAACTTGCCATAAGATGCAGACTTTTTTTTAACGGAATCGAGTAATGTAATGGTCGAAGGTCTTTTTCTCGATTAATTTTTGTTATTTATATATTATTTATTTTCATATATTTGTTATATATTTTAAACTACTACATTGACCAATATAATATATTTTTCCATCGTATTTCTGCATCAACTAACATAATGATGTATCTGGGCAGTCTGCAATTAAGATATATCACAGTGCTGTGCTCTACACGAGCATTATTATAGAGGGAACCCCATAAGCATCAAAGTCTTTCTCTAATCTTGTATAAGTGTCTTTCAAAGACTGTCATTTAACATTGAAAATCACTGGGAGATGTATTTGTCTGAATGTCAAATCTTCCTGCAAATCCTATTTCTACGTTTAATAGCCTCCGGAAAGCAATGCGCTTTCCAACTTGAGTTCTTGTAATCCTTGTCTTCTATCTCCGCGACGATCATTATGTCAGGCGATTCAAATCCCGAGCGATTTTGCAAGCAACAAAGAGCAGCGAAACTTTTGTAGCTTCTCGTCGCGCGATTTCACCCACGCCGTCGATGAAAATAGCAAAAGTACAAAATCGCTATAGTAATTATCCGAATAAAAAAGATTAGCCTAATGTGTAACGTTAGCCTTATCAACTACGGAGCTAAGTGCGTCGTCGTGCGTCGACGCACGATCGATGATAAAAAGACACTTGCTGTCCTCTTAGAAAAAAGCAGCTACGGCACCGTCATAATGAAAAAGTTATCCTTTTTCTCCCTCCCTTCTACGATTTTTCTTGTACAGTGTCTGCTGCAAAGTAAACTCGTCGTTTCTCTACGTTCCGGGAATCCGCCGATACCAGTTTGGTGGATTCGAAAGAATCCGACTGGATTTTTCGTCTGCGTGTTTGCGCATGAAATTATGACAAGAAAGAAAAACTGAAGATGCTCCAATCATATCGCATGTTGTCGACTTTGCCTCTGATCCACGATCGCTGAAAAAACTCCAATGTGTAATCGAGCGTTGTTGAAAATTTATTAATCCCTCTAGAAAGACGCTCCAATTATTATTTTCCCTTATAAAAATATATGCTACCTATTTGTTTTATTTTCATATTTATTTTATTTTAACGATAAAACAAAACAAATCTGTCAAAATAAATAAACGTCAAAATACATATCACTCTCCTTTTTTTGATATTACAATACTCTTAAATTATTTTCAAAAAATTCAAACACTCAAATTTTTTATTACCAATTGCATTTAATAACTAAAGAAAACAAACAAAAAAAAACACGAAAAAAACAAAAAAAAATATATAATTACGAGGAGCTCTTTCTCTCTCTCTCTTTCTCTTTTATAAATCTATGCAACGATCGAAATGATTTTGATGGCGTGGATCTGTGCAAAGCCGCGATAAATAATTATCAATAACTTTCTGAAATACGGTTAAAATCGTACTGATCCTCTCTGTTCCTTTCTTTTTTTTTTGTTCTTTCGATAGGAACTCAGAGAAGCGAATAATGGCGCGTACCGCTGACTAATGTGGATTCTTATTAAAAATTGAAAGCAGTAGGGAGTACAGGCGACGCGTGAATCTATCGTACACGCATCTTAAGACATTAAGGAAAACTTCTCGTACACACTTCCGATCGCATCAAGGAACTTGAAGCGGCTTAAAACTGACCGCCGCATTAATTTCGAAGAGAATCTATCATTTCTTGAAAAACGCGTAAATGCATTATTAGTTTCCTTTGTAAAAATCAACTTTGCGTTATTTTGCAAACATATGTAATTAATCGAAAACTGGATGAAAATTATGTTTCGATATAATTTCGCGCAAAAAAGCAAAGGGAACGGTCGCGCGTTTAATACAGGGAGACTTGTGTTTTCTAGGCTTGATTCCACACACTTTAAAGGCAACTTTGAGAACATTTCGATGAGCGAAACTTTTATCGTGCGTGTCGTGAAAACGAAATTCAAGTTCCTTCAGCCGTCGATCGACCAGGCGTACTGCGTTTATAATTTGCGTTGCCAAAAAGTAACGAATTGGATAAAGAATAATAATATAAAAATTACAAGCGAAACTTGAAAAAGGATGAAAGAATGTTAAAAACGCTGCTTGCTTGGCAATTGCTCATTTGGCACTCTGAGAAAACGTACAATCGAGACGAAATGATCGGAGAAGAAGGACTCAGACGCGATCGTCCTTGTCTCCGGCACTAAACGCGCGAGAAATTAATTAATAACGCGGGAGTTTAATTCGCACTCAGAAAACGCGCTGTCCGTCTCACTATTAGCTGGCTATCCAAGGAAGCTTTTCGCATCGATATTTCGCATCCTATTAAAGGCGCTGTTAATCGCGCGTTCTCCTACGTGCCTATGTTCCTTTCTTTTTTTTTCTTTTTTTTCCGCTTTTCATTCCCTTCCCCTCCCCTTCTGTTTTTTCATCTCACTCATTTTCAATTTTGCATGAATCATGAGAGAAGCTGCACGACTACCTAAAATCGATGTTTTTTGATATCATTGTAATATAAAAAAAAAATTTGTACTTTTGATAATATAATTTAAAAATGAATTCTTTTGAACATTATGTAATTAAAAATTGTATATGAAAAGAAATGAGTGTCTAATAACTTCTTTTGAAAATTTAACAAAATACTTTTGTGCGCATCCGACACTGATAGCGCGATGCGATAAAATAAAATTCGAACGTACATTCTTCTCCATAATTCATATAGTGTTAAATTAATAAAAAAAAAAGAATTATGTATTGCTCGCATTAAAAAAATACATTAATCTTACAAATAAATTACACATGTATATGTAGAAAATTATTACACTTATAAAATAATTTTTTTTTCTTAAATGCATATAATGAAAACCCACAGATTATAAAGGCGAGTCAAAGTAGTCGCGCAGCTTCGCGATCTTCATCATCTTCATTATTCGCTTTACGCTTCGCACACGGGGCATTACATTATCTCCTAAATATACTTCTCTCTCCCGGGCCGTATGGATTAAGTATATTTTTTTAAATCGTAGTAACGTAAAAAAGGTACACGATCGACTATACTACCTTGAGAACGGTGGGCGGTCTGTTTGTGGGACGGCCGCTATTGTTGGACAGCAACGACCAGCATCGCCGGGAAAAAAAGAAGGTTCTCTTCCTCTTCAAACACTTGCTTCTCTCCCACTTAATATGTTATATACACTGGGGCTACTCCGAGCGATCACGACTTGCCGAGAGAATCGTTCGATACTCGATCGAGTGATCGACGACGGAACCCAGGAACGTTCGCTTTCGTCTAGACGGGAAAACCGTGTGTACACAGCGAGAGAGCGGAAGTCCGTCTCGAACGATTGGTTTCCTCTTCTGATGATTTACTCTATTTTACGACTGGCGCGCGACAAATCGATGAATTTCATCCGTCTTTTGGTAACGTTCCCGGTCTCGAATCGCGGAAAGTCGCGACGCACGCCCGACCGAATCAACGTTGAAACCCATCGAATGAGTCACAGATTCTTAAACCAAATCAACATGGCCGCCATAAATGTATAAACTAATAAAATGTAAAAAAAAACAACGTTCTCGATTTATCTAAGTAACAAACGATAGTTATTTCTTTTTTTTCTTCCCCTTTCAATCTTTCCTAGAAAGAATAGCCTTTTTTATCTCTATACACGACGTTTTATAATAAAGAGAATCGACCTATTTTTCGCATCTAATATTGTTAATCTTCGCCTAAATTTATTTTTTGCATTTAATTTTCTTTAAAGCAATTCAACTATAAAACGGGAGACGGCGAAGCTGTCGTAGGAAATTTTCGAAATCATAAGACATGGACTAAGAATTTGCTTTGCTAGTCAAATTATGTGTAACTCTTCCGATATCACACAGATCTTGTCAACAAAAAATTTTGCTAATTAAAAATCTATATCAAAGAAATATGCTCACAATGACAATCGTCGTGTATATTAAAAAAAAAATTATAAATTGCCACTCACATTTTCAAGTCTCACGATAAATGCTTAAAAACTTAAAAAGTAACATACAGAAAAATGCACTAGTTTTGCAAGCTCGCCGCGAATCATCGAAATGTCGGCGAGTGCCAGGAAATTCGACGTCCCCCGTTTAAAAAAAAAAGTATCAATCTAGACAAACCTACATAATCGATATTAAAAAGAAACATCTTAAACTTCATTAGCGATACGGGAACGCGCCAAGGGGCTCGCACGTACCATCATCTTCGTTTGCTACCGCAAGATACAAATTAAAAACACTAGAAGCCTGTCCTTGACAACAGCCATTGGCTCGTCGACCAATTCTGATGGTATTAAAAAGAAAAATTCCTACGAGATTACAAGAGAAAAAAGTAGCCAGCTATATCGACCGAAACGAAAGAGTCTCTCTAACAAATTAATAATAATACATAAAATTAATAATAATATATCGGTGGATCCGGTCGACGAAACGCTCTAAGGAAAGATCGCGGCCCCCGAGTGCGTTCTCCACTGTCAAAAGTCTCCTACGGAATCGAAGGGAGGATTCTAGAGCACGGTCGTCCGGAACAGAGAGATCGATCTGTAGAAGAGGGGACGCAGATCGGCCGCGGTGCGCAAACGGCGGCGGTTCGCTAAGTTCTCTAATGGTTACGGCCACTGGCTGTAGAGCTGAAATTGCTCGCGGGTGAAGCAGGCCGAGAGCGGCTTTACGAAGTGTGCGTCGACCGCCCTGCAATGTGGGCAGGCGAAGACGCGGCTGTAGTCCGAGTAGAAGTTCAGTCGCTGATGAGGGTAGATCAGGGGTTTCTGGCAGCTGTTGCACTGGAATGAAAATGGAACAATTCGGTGCGTTCATTTCGCGAAGCGTCTCCATCGAGGGGGCTACGAGCCAGCGATAGAATTGGAAAACTTTGATCATTTAATTTCGTATCGCACGTTTCAAATAACTTTACGCTGCGCGGCTCATTTCAACAGTTTTAGCGGATAAATAAATTCGTTAAATTAACGACTTGATGGATGAAGAGAATTCGAAAAAAGATTAAGTAACAAATTTCAGTATAATCTTGTCTGCATCAATATCAAGTCAAGAAATATAGATACGTTTGCAAATTCGATTCTTAATTTTTACTTTATAATTTTACGGATAAAACAAAGTATTATACTGTCAAAGATTTTAAAATTTCTTGCAACCGAATGCGAGAGTGTATCGTCGTACGCAGCGATATATCAACACTCGTGAGTTGAAGGGTCAAGGTTTGATCGGATCGACCGGTCACGAATTCGGGACTTACCTTGAGTCGCTCGCTGCAACAGGGCATGGCAGCGAAGATATCGTAACTGTACATGGTACCGAGGACCAGGCTCGAGCCATCCCACGGTTGGGTACAGAAACGACAACGTACAGGCTGCCCGCCGCTGCCCTCCAGACAACTCATGCACACGGCTGACAAAAATTGTGTGCGACCTTCGACCTTCACCTGGAACGAAACACCAAAGAACCGGACGTGCCATCGTAATCTTACAACACCATATGCAGCATGTTGCGGTTAGATCGCGGACCAGAAGCACGACAAAAAATAAATCGACGACGATAACGACTTTAGTCATTTTTCTCGCAAAATTTTGCCAACTAAATTTATAATCGATCAATTAATTGCTAATAAATAATTAGAAAAAATATATTTCTTCTCGATATGGATAGATGCATCTGCTATTGATCTGCTGATAAGAGAAAAATAATTTTTGAGAGAGATATTCAACAAAACAGATTCAATTAACATTTTGTTAATTAAAACACTACTAATTTTTCGAGCACTTAAAAATAGAACGAAATATTAAATTTCTTTTTAATAGGAAGCTAAAAATTTAAATCCCTCAATAAATGATTTATTAACATTTTTATATAATTTCTTTTGAACATTTATCTTTTCAACGAAAAATTCCACATTTATAGAAAATTTGTGAAAATCGGAAGTGAAACACACACATACCTCAGCACAAGCGGGCGAATGTTGTCTGGGTGACAAGAAGAACGTTCCGTCCACCAACGGATACCTATCAAAGACCAGCATAGCAGCGCGACAAAGAACGCATGTGACTCTTGACCACTGCAATGCAGCCAATGTTGATAAGATGAAGCATCTGGTGTCGTCGTTGCCATGATTGCCCTCATCTTCCATCTAAAACCAAATTATTAAGAAATATATTACATATAATTACATATTTTTCTTGTTATAATATATCAATGATTATGATTATGCACATAAAAATCGTAAAAATATTTATCTTTCTCGACATTTTTCGATGAAAATAAAAAATATCAGATTTTTCTTCGAGGCTTTTAATTATAAATTTAAACTCGAAGATTAAAATATCGCGAGCAAGAAATTCCGGGGTAGCTTGGGCGGAAACGATAACCGATAACATCATATTTCTTCGCCCGTTTCCAGTCTGCAGGGGTGCGAGAGTGACGATAATTTGAATGCAGACTTTCCCACCTGGTGGCTCGTACGCGCGCGCAAAGTAATAACATCGGCGAAATCAACGAAGCTCGCCGCTTTCTGGTCGTTAAAGAGTTCCGCGAAACGTTCGCCGTAACCCCTGGGAGGAGAAAAAGACGCGGGTCCTGATACTGCGGTTGTAAAAAGACCGACGGTGAAGGCGGCGGTGAGGGTGGAAAATCCGAAGAATGCAGCGGCATGGATCTCGATAGCGAATAAACTGCGAAGGCGGTAGCTCCAAAGCGCCATAAAGATTTTCGCAACGAGCAGCAAGGGTGAGCAGCTGGAAAAAAGACGCAGCGGTGAAACGCGTTTTACCTGAATCAAGGCACTAAAGGGCCAAAGCATAGAACGTAGCGGTGAAGACTGAATGGAAGTTTCGGAGAACGCGCGTTGAAGGTTCTCATAAGAAGCCACGGAAAAAGGGCAACAAGGGGGCAAAACGAGGTACTTCCGAAAGATGCTTCAACGAATCTTAACGCAGTCTCGGGAAAGTCCGCTAAAACTAAAAGCAAAAGCAAAAGTTGAGCTAGTGGAGAGTATATATAGTGAAAGAGCCGAGAAGAGAAACGAAAATGGTGACGAGAAAAAAAGCACAAAGTCTATAGTCAGAATAAATGCTGCAAAAAGAAGATTGAAGAAAGAAGCTAAAAGCGTTAAAAATACGATGGTGATAAAATAGAAATGTGCGTGTTTGTGCGATGGAAAACAACACGTCAGCAAACGTTTAATTTTCAGTAAATAAACAGTAATTTCACTTTGCGAAAAAGAAAATAATGAAAGCAAGTGAATAACAAAAATTTGAATCTGCATATCCATAATTATAATATATTAATGAGGCTAGTTTTTCTACAATTAACGAAGAAGATGTAGTCATCTTATAATTGAATATAACAGCGACAAAATCATACATCAAATAATCGCGCTTTCAATTTATTTTTTAATCTAAATGTCAAAATTTCGAAAGATTGAGAAAACTTTTTCATATCTTATTTCAAAGGCCAAGGCCAAGTATCTTGGCTTTGGCTTTATTCTCGTCGATACGTGACGTCCTGTTCATCTGTAAAATTCCCCGAAGATGAAAGTATATTTCCAGATTGTGAAGAGGTCTTCGAGTACTTAGAGTGACCGCTCGAGGGGCACAATCGTGTACGGTGGAGAGAATAAAAAAAAAAAGAACGTACGAAGGACGAAATAAACGAAAGGAAAGAGACAAGGAAAAGAGAGAAGGAAAAAAATATCGAGCCTCGTAGTCCGACCAACGTGTTCGAGGATTCGAGAAGAGAGCGCGAGTCCTTGACGCATCCTCGGATGCTCGAGAGAACTGTATGGACCACGTACATCCATTTATCCGTCCATCTCATCGGGAAGATTCACAGCTAGTGTCGAAAAAATAAATTGAATTGGTACGTCGCGAGTTATTCGTATGTGAGTTTGTCGAGAAACATTCCAAGTTTTTACGACTTCGATTAAAGGAGCCAGTGTGTTGTGCAATGTTGATACGATACAATACACTTCCTGGGATTTTATGACCCTATCGAGCCTGGGCGCGAAATACGTTGGATGAAATATACAGGAGTTACCTTCGAGATGATGAAGAAATTTATTCGAATGTGATTGTACCCCATCCAGACCTAGCTCAATAAAATATTTTATCAATTATGCAAAACATAAGATTATATTTATTCTACAATTATAATGATTAATTATTGACATTTGCATAATTGCAGATTTATGCCGTAATTACACATATATATTTATTATTTTAAACAAATCCAAAACACGATTAACTCGTAATTTAATTTTAATACGAGTCATTAACACGCTTTCTTCATTTACAATTTTAAAACATTTTCAGCAATCGAAATTTGAAAAGATTAAGTTAGTTGTAAAAGATTCGGCAGATGTAGAAAAATTTGCAATGATCGCGACAATATTGGCGAAAGGTTAGCGAACTCGGATAATTCCAACGAGCCTGTCTAAAAATCGAAGAAAAGAAAAGGCACCGGGGAATGACAGGGGTGGATCGTAAATCGTGGTATACCGTAAAGGGACTTACACCGGCGGCGTCGCGGATTATCGAAATTCAATAATGCGGGACGATACAAATAAATGGAAAAAAAATCGATCTTGTCGCTGCCGTACGCTCGACGGTGCAAAATAATAAAGAACTGATGTTAGTGAGAGGCCGCAAGATCGCATCTTCCCTTTTATTACTTGGCCCAACTTTCCATCGATTGCGATATAATAAGATCCTTGAAAGAGGATTACTCGATGAAAGCAAACTTGAGAGAGAAACTTGAGATTGCACATCTTATGTAATCTGACATTTGGCAATTCTTGAATTAAAATTTTCTCTTCCTTCCAAACTAATCGAAAATAAACGTGAATATCGGTCTACTTGCGCGGGCAATGACGGCTTATTAATTAAAGCAAAAGTACGTTAGAAAGTTATAACCATAAATTCTGCCGAAGGATATTTCATACCCTCGACACGAGATCTTATAGACCGAATTAAAAGTCTGAAATGATTTCTATCGAAGTGAAGGATCGTGAATTCAACTTTACCGCACAAAGATAAAAGAAGGAAGAGGAGAAGGAGACGTATTCGGTGCTAAAACCGCTTGACTTCATTTTATGTACATTGTGCCGAGGAGACGATCTTCTTGGAGGCGGAGGGAGTAGAAAAAAAAAAGCAAGGAGGGAGATGGCATAAGGGATGCAGAAAAAAGGTACCACTGGGGATTTTTTAGGGTTCCTAAGGACGCCCTTATTTAGAGCCTTTAACATCAGCGCGGACTCGGCCATAGGACGCGAGACGATAAAAGGTATATAGGCGAGCGTAAAATTCGTTACGATCGAACTTCGCCTACTTCCGTTACCATCCTAAAGAAGGAAAAAAGTAATTACTTACGAGAGACAAAAGAGAAAGAAAGGAAATGTGAGAGGCACTCTGATTCTACAATTTCTATTTTACCTTATGACAATAAACTTTACTCTAGTGGAAAAAGCTCTCAATATTTGTACTGCTCTTCAAAAAAATCTAGTATAATATTGGCATTACATTAAACAAGAATTATTTATAAAATTAAAATTCGTGATCAAAAATTAATTTCTTCTTTAAGTAAAAATATTTATTATGTTATAATTGTTATAACAGTTACATATTAATTTATCGTAATTTATTTTGTAATTATATTGAATTATAACTAATAATTCAAATTTATATAATTAACATTGTCGAAAATTTAGTTTTTATTAATTCAATATTTATTTCTTCGCAACAAGAACACTTTTGGTCGCTTTAATTTATCCGATCTATTTAAGAAAAAGCCGAAGTATTTTGAAAGCTTCTTGCTCTTTAAAAACATTATCCTGCTAAAACAGACTATTAACCCGGAATCCAGCAACGTTCTAAAAACGTTCGGGAAGTGAGTACGCTCGTTGCATTCGCATTTAACGCGAATACGAGCTAGCAAAACGAGTCTTCTTACTTTCTTTGAAAGCATCGAACCGACTTGAAATAGTTAGATGGTCTACAAAACCTATTTACAAACAGTATGATAAAGTAAGAAAGAGAAATGGTTTTATTTACCTAATCTTTACAGAAATTCTGAATTATCTAATTATTTCAGTGATAAAATTTCCCAATTCATTATATTATAATTATTAATCACAATTAAATAATATTTTTAAATATTCATTATTCTTTACTTAAAATAATATAAGCTTCATATTTTATTAATTAAATAAAAATTGTAAAAAAATTATTAAAATTAATAAATTAAATTTCCTAATAAATTATTATGTATCATGTATACATAAATTTTTTATATGTAATAAATTGTATTATAAATAAAATATTAAATAAAATATAGTTGCATTTTTATAATCTATACTGTTGAATAATATAAAAGAAAAGATCCTAAATATATTCAATATAATCCACGTATTAGCTTGTAAAAATGTATAAGTAAATGTAAAAATAATGTAATATTGTAGTAATTCTGCCATGCAAAATTAGTAACGCCATAAATTTCAGTTCCGAATGATGAGAGCTGATCCGGAGGCTCAGAAAAGTTAAATGGAAAATAGAAAGTCGGGGATCTCTCTCGCAGAAACAAAGGGATTACTTAGTAGGACTGTCTATGTATTACAGCCGGAACAAAGGCTTCGCGAAAGATTCTCCGCGCATTCTCTTCGACATGGAAGGGTGCGGCGGCCCGGAGCGATAACAACTTTTCGCTCAAAGTTCTTCGCTTCCCCAACGAGGGGTACCAACTCCGTGTCTTTCTCCATGCAAGTGACCCACTGTTGGTACCGGAAAGATGGGCCGAACAAAGAGATCCAAGTCGTGCTGCTCCTTCTAGCGTAAAAATAATCAATGGCGTGTCTCCGAGACTTCATTTCCAGAAGTCTTGTGACGATAATAGCCTTTTTTTTAATGGGCCTCCCTCTCGATCCGATTATTTCTTCCTCGTGTAATCGAAAATTTTCAAGTCTTCCAATCTACATTTCTTTATTTTTGACTTCTAGTTGCAACATTCAATCGTAGCTACAAAATTCGATCACGCAACTGGATTAACGAAAAGCCAGAAATTTAGTGATTCGATAACGAACGATTATTTCCAATAATCCTCGTACTGTCCGATATGGCGTCTAAGCGGATGCTATTAAAG